AATGGAAAACAATAGGGGCTGGTGCAGTTGTGGGGCAAAATGGAACTCTCTTACATTGTTAGTAAGAATGAAAGTTGAGACAGTCTTATGGAAAAATGATTGACGGTGCTTCAAAAGTTTAAACATAAAATTCCCACATGATCCAGCATTTTTCATGCCTAATTGTGCCCCAAAGAATTGAAAGCAAAGACTCATCAGATACCTGAGCGCCAATGTTGATTGTGGAATGATTCAAACAGTTAAAAAGTAGAAATAACTCAATTACTCCTCAACAGAGGAGTGGATAAATAAAATGTGGTGAAAGTATATAAAAGAATAGTATTCAACTCTTAAGAGAAATTAAGTCCTGATAAATACTTGAACATAAAAGAAAATATTATGCTGAATAAAATAAAAGAGGTACAAAAGGACAAATGTGTTTCACCTCAGAAATAAAAAATATTTAGAATAGGCAAGTTCAACAAGACAAAAGTAGTAAGGTGCTACCCAGTGCTGGGAGCAGGAGGGAAGGACTTATTACTTGAAGTTATAAAGTTGCTGTGTGAGGTGATTAAAGCCTTTAGAGATAGGTAGTGATGTTTATAAAACATGGCAAATGGAATTAATATAATTAGTTGTACATTTAAAAATAATTAAAGCGGAAAAATGTATATACATATATTAAAACAATAAAACATTTAATAACAAACTTTTAAAATGTTACTAGTGCCTATCTACTTAGATTTTCAAATGCCAGATATAATCCCTTCAAATTAACTCAGAATTCACAAATATTTCACTCTTCCTTTTTCGTGTGTTAGTCTGTGTAATTTAGAGAAACAAATCCACACAAACTCATGTATAAGAGAGTTTTATATAAAGGTTAAGTGCACATCACGAAAACATCCCAACCCAGTGCTGCCCAAGCCCACAAGTCCAACATTAGCCCATATATCCGACAGCAATCTACAAAGTCCTCCTCCATCTCACAAAACACACACTGTGACGCTGACTGCTGGAGGAGAACCGAATCAGTGAATGTATAAGCATCTCAGTGCTGGCAGGCATCTCCACATGGCTGCTTCAGTACCCAGGGCTGCATCGGGGTAGGTCCATGCAGCTTCTCCTTGGGGATGTCTTGCAGGAAGTGAGCCTTGCCAGCTAAATCAGGGAACTGGCTAAGGCAGCTGCACTCTGGTCCAACCATCACAAGGCAAGAGACACAAGAACTAGAAAGGCGAGGCTCACTGAGCCATTTATCCCTCTGCCCTTCAGTTAGCCCCACATGTGTTTATCCTCCAGGTTGGCACAATAAACTAACTACCTCACTCCACTTCAAGTTCATCAAAATTGCCCTTTCCATTGGATTATCTCAGTTACAAGTAGTACCTGGCAGACTTAGGTTCTATTCCAACCACTCAATTACAGTCTTCTTTGTACATAAATCACTTTGACATAAGTACTGCCTCATCATAGGCCAGGTCATAAACTGCTATAGCTCAGTGTTTTTTAATTGTAAATCATTACACTGAACATCTGAAAATCAACATTTGATAATAATAACATCAGAAAATTACAGTGTGCCTCAGAGATATTGCAGGTTTGGTTTCAGACCAAAGTGAATATCACAATATAATACATCATATTACTTTTATGCATATGAAGGTTATGTTTATGATGATATTATTAAGTGAGCAATAGTATTACCATGAAGTTCGAAATAGTCTGAGAATTGAGAAAATATGATAGTGACAGTAAGTGAGCACATGTTGTCGTTGTTAGATTCCATCAAGTCATTTCTGACTCATAGTGACCCTGTCTACAAAAGAACAAAACATTGCTCGGTCCTTTGCCATCTTCACAATTTGTTCATATGTTTGAGGCCATTGTTGAAGTCACCGTGTCAGTCCATCTCACCCAGAGCCTTCCTTTTTTTCTCTTTCCCTCCGTTTTACCAAGAATGATGTCCTTCTCCAGGGACTTGTCTCTCCTGACAATACATTCAAAATATGTGAGACTGTCTCACCATCCTTGCCTCTTGTAGAATTCTGGCTTTATTTCTTCCAAGATACATTTGTTTGTTTGTCAGTCAATGGTACTATCAAATATTCTTTGTCAACACCATAATGCAAATGCATCAATTCTTCTTTGGTCTTTCTTCTTCACTGTATAACTTTCATATGCATATGAGATGACTGAAATATCATGGCTTCGGTCAGACACACCTTAGTCCTCAAAGTCACACCTTTGCTGTTCAACACTTTAAAGAGGCCTTGTGTAGCAGATTTTCCCAATGCAATACATGGTGCTTCTACATGCATTGATGGTGGATCCAAACAAGGTGAAACCCTTGACAATGTCAATCCTATCTCCATTTATCATAGGATCACTCTGGTTTGAAATTGACCTGATGGCAGTGGGTGAATGTGCACATACTGTTGGGAAAATGGCACAAACGGACTTGCAAAACATGTTGTTGTTAAGTTCCACTGAGTCGGTTCCCACCCATAGGGACCTGGTGTACAACAAAACAACACAGCTCAGTCCTGTGTCTCCTCACAATTGTTCTTGACTGTCCCCATGGTTGAAGCCACTTTGTAAATCCATGTCTTTGAAGGCTTTCCTTTTTTCTTTCTTTGCTGCCCCTCCACTTTACCAAGCATGATGTCCTTCTCCAGGGATTAGTCTCTCCTGGTAGCATGCTCAAACTCTTTATGACAAAGTCTTGCCATCCTTGCTTTTAAGGAGAAATCTGGCTGTACTTATTCCAAGACAGCTTTGTTTGTCCTTTTAGTAATCCAGGATAATTTTAATATTCTTCTCCAGCACCACAACTCAAGCACATCAATTCTTCACTCTTCTGTACTCACTGTCCTACTTTTACTTTCATGTGAGGAGATGGAAAATGTCATGGCTTGTCAAAAAACCTTCACATTTTAAAAAATGAAGTATATACAAAGGATAATAAAGCAAATTGCAACAAAACAAGGTGTGCCTGTAGATGTTGCAACATTGTAGGTACTTACTACTAAAAAGGAAAAAAGGAAAAAGAAAGAAAAGGAGCTGGGGTGGGACTCAGGGAGGGAAATGAAAAGGCAGATCATCAATTCAAATACATAAACCTAGCAATATTTGGATACTGAAGTAGTTAGTTTATTGTGCCAACCTGGCCGACAAACACATGTGGGGTTAATTGAAGGCAGAGGGTAAATGGCTCAGTGAGCCTGTCTAGTTCTCGGTTCTATTGTTTTCTGATGGTAGGATCAGGGTGCAGCTGTATTAGCCAGTTCCCTGCTTCAGCTGGCAAGGCTCACTTCCTGCAAGACATCCCTGAGGAGGAGCCACAGGGACCTACCCAGATGCAGCCCTGGGTGCTGGAGCAGCCGCGTGGAGACCCCTGACAGTGCTGAGATGCTTACACATTCACTGACTCGGCTTTCCTCCTGCAGTTGGCATCATAGTGTCTGTTTTGTGAGAAGGAGGTGAACTTTGTAGATTGGTGTTGGACACATGGGTTAATGGGTTAATGTTGGACTTGTAGACTTGGGCAGCACTGGGTTGGGATGTTTTCTTAATGTGTACTTAACCTTCATATAAAACTCTCTCTTATACATGAGTTTCTATGGATTTGTTTCTCTAAAGTACCCAGACTAATACAGATAGTTTCCTGTTTTTCATCCTTTTAATGAAAAAAATTACCTTAACATTTAATTCTGTTTCTTGAGAATTTTATAAGTGGCTTTTTGATATTAAGTCCCTATCTACATAGCACAAGCTCTGGTGACACAAGTTTGGGAACCCTGTGGAACTCTTCTACTCTACCCTACTTGGTGCCTGTGAGTCAGAATTGACTCTGTGGCAGTGGGTTTGTTTTGGGTTTGGCTATTCAAAGGCACTAGCCACTCCAAGTGAGAAGGATATGACAGGCTATTTCAGTAAGGATTTGCACCCATGGAAACATAGAGGTCATTCTACTCTGTCCTTAAAGTCACTATGAGTCACAAAGAGGTTTGGATTTGGTTTTTTAAGTATGAGATGCTCCAGAAATCCTTAAGGAATCCCGCTGCTAACTGTAAGGTCCATAGTTCAAACCCACCAGCTGCTGATCTATGGGAGAAAGATGAGCCTGTGTGCTCCTGTAAAGATTTATGAAGCCTCAGAAACCCTATACAAGGTCACGGTGAGTTGGAATCAACACAAAGAAAATGGCCATATATGGCTCTCAAGCCACAGTTTGCTGTCCCCTGAGCTAGACACATGCACCTTTTAATTCTTTGTTTCATTTTCCTTCTATCAGGCCACCAGGCTCGAACATCCAACCTTGTAGTTACCAACCCAATCCCTACACCACAGTGCCATACTGTTCACTGAACAACATTTACTAAGCACCTACAGAATGCCAAGCTGCTCTAAGTGTATGGGGAGGGGGGAATATGGAGGGTGAGGGTGAAGAAAAACAAAACAAAACAAAAATGTATGCCCTCAGTCAGCTGAAATTAGGGACCCTGGAGTTAGTCAGGTTAATTCTAGTGACATCCAATAAGTATATAGGATTGAAAAATAGGCAGCTGAATAAGTATATAGGATTGAAATAAGGCAGAATCAACTGGATGGCAGTGGGGTGTAGGATCGGCATGAGTCAGAATCAACTCTACGGTAGGGGGTGAGTGGTGGGTAGCTGTAGTATTAAATAAAAAATAATGATTGACGCTGATGGAGGGTGAGGGTACCAGCCCCCACCCGCTGCTACTCCTACGAGTTCAGTAATACTACTTCTGGGTTCAGTAATGCACAATTGTAC